ACAGGACGAAAATGCTTCTTCCCACGAGAGTCTTTCCCAGAAAATGCAAGTTCAAAAGCATGCAGAAAGCTCTCCTCCCCTCCCTCTCCCTTGTCTTCCCCCTCCTTCTCATCCTGCTCCACCATAGCCATGCCATCACCACTACACATCCCCTGAGCTCGTAGTATCCTCGACCGATTTCGTCCGACTACGCTCGGACTCGTCAGGAGGTAGGATGCAAGATCCCTCAGCTCGAGGCAGCCTAGGCCTTGCTGCCGTACTAGTACTTTGTCGGGTTTCCTCACCTCGGTCTCCTTTCCCCCGCTACCGATTTTACTGACTTAAAGAAGAATAAAAATTCAAAAAACACGATTTCAAGAAAGTCCTTGGTCTAGCCGCCAGGCCTCAAAACAGCAGTCGTACCCCCACTTCCCGATACATCACCGGAGATCTGCCTGAAATCTATCTCATTTTCACCCCTTATCCGGGCCTATTCCACGTGACCTACCAGTTCTTCCCCCGCAAGTTCACCCCTAGTCTTCACCCCCCTCCGCCTACCTTTGTACCCCTTATCTATTCCCAACTCCCGGTACCCGGTATCCCTTTACCCCGAGCCTCCGGTACTTGTCACCTCCCGTGCTCTCCGCGGGAAACCCCTCCAAAAAATCTGCAGCAGACAGCGCAGATTCGTGTCACCCGTAGCCTGGACCAACTTGGCCAAGGCGCCAAGAGAGACCTCCGGGGCTATGACTCCATAGAGTATAGGCCATAGAGCCCACGACCAAGACCTGACATGACGTTGAGTGCCATAACCTTTTCAGGGTAGCTGCCAGGGTCGACTTCTTCGATTTCTTCTCCGAATACGATGCATAGTCCTTCATCGTCTGATATCTGATTCTGGCCGTCTCCCGTAGTGGCACCAGATTCTTCGTACAAGGGACAAACATCAACCTCACCGATTGCTGCAGCACATAGAACGAACCGCCTAGGAAATGCCACCAATCCTTCCCCTCGTACTTTTTTTATCAAAGTCAGATTCTCATCGTAGGTAGCCTCGAACTTCTTGAAAACCTCGTCACTCAAAACTTCTTCTTCTCCCCCCTGCCTGCCCACCACCACCGTGATATCGTCGACGATCCTCCATCCGCCGACCAGTTTCCGATCCGAGCCCGACCATTAAATTCCGCCATGGCACATGTGATGGTAGCCAGGATCCGGCTGGTGCATTTCCCCATCTGGATTCCGGAGATCTGCCTCCTCACATCGTGTCCACAGTTAATATAGGCATTATTGAGATCATACTCAACCAGCTTAAACATGCACTCAAAACGGATCCCCGCGTAGCCGTCCGTCGCCCTGCAAGTTTTGCTCAAAACACACAGCTTTCCCCTCCTAGACACCCGAACCTGCCTCCATCCTCTGTTCGCATACCATACAAGTAACTGCCAAACCGACCTTCGAACTGCATCATGCGGAATCTTCGTGAACATATCCTTAATGTCGTAACATCTACCCTCCACTCTCGTACAACGATTTTCAACCAGTCTCTTCTGCACCGCCTCCAGTTTCGTCGGCATTTCCTAAATCGAATTGAGATAAAAAGTTTGTTCCTTCGGGAACAACTTCATAAGATAATGCAAAGCCCTGACCACCTTTCTCTGTGCCGCTCCCGCCGGGTCACCCGTGGCAGGTGCTATCGGTCTCCACTTGCTGAGATCCTTGTCCTTGGGTATGACGTAAGCCCGCCCGACCCGCCCTTCCGTCTTCCATGCTGCGCTCTTGTCGAGGTTTGCTTGCTCATAATCTACCCTCGCCTTCCGCAAAATGTCCTGTTCCTTCTCACGTTTCTCTTCATAGTCGCCGTTCCAAACGAAAGCCTTCCCAAAAGCATGCCGATAAATAACAGGGCAGATAACAGCCGTATCGCCCTGATTACGATCCACGGGGGCAAGTACCAACCCCTAAAACCTCTTTCCCCAGTCCGCCGCCTGTCTCTCATCCCATGTACCTGGTCCACACGGCCCCGTTACGACTTCACTCGTGAAACCACCGGCTGGTAAGTTCACGTCCTCCCTGCTTCCGCCCAGGTGATTCGTTCCCTCGACGATAGCCTGTACGATCAACTGAGTAGTACATCCCTTTGCGCTTCATGTGACGTTCCTGCCGTTCTTCATGAACTCCGGTACATCTCCCAACTCCGAGAACCGCGTAAGCACGTGCCCGTCCGTAGTTGGAAGCCCGATCGTTCTGCATGTGCAAAGTTGTACCCCGACGTGTGCATGCCTCCGGTGATTATGCAAGATCTCCCCAACTGTCTTGTTTCGTTTCCATGTGATACGTATCCTGCCTTTAATCAGGTTTGCGACAGCTACATCCTTGACCTTTCCTTCCACCACTCCTTCCGTAGCCTGCCTTACTTTCTTCTTCACGATTTGTCTATCGTACATAACTTTCACCTGTACCCTCTTCCGTATCCTGACTCCCGTCTTCTTCTTCACAGCCTTGTCGATCTTCAAGCTTAAATAATTCTTCGTCTTCTTGTCCCTGAACAAACCCGCAGACCGGTACATTCCCACCAGTTGACTTGTGTTTCGGTCGACCAACCTCTTAAACAGAAAAGGCTTCTTGAGCATCCACCGTAGTTCTTGCATGTACGCGGTCGTTGTCGTCGTCGTCTTAGTGATCCCGATAAAAACCACCGTCACTCCTCGCTGCAATTCCGCCTTGGACGTTGCCAGTTTCTTAATTCTCCCACTAATCCTTACTTTCGTCATCCCGAATAGTCTCTTGATCTTCCTCCATCCGTCCGACCAGGTCTCTCCCCCTTGGAACACCACTCTCCTTTCTCCCTTCGAATTCTTCTTCCATTCACCCTCTAACCATGTCAACAGTGATACCCTCCGCTCGTTCTCATTTCCCTCTGTAAAGCTCACTACGCTCTTCACCCTCTCCCGCTGTCCCGCTCTCATCCTCTTCCTCTCCCTCTTACCCTTCCTCCTGCTCCGTGTCTTACTCCCACCCTGCCCATTACTGTTGCACGTGTTCAGCGAGGGTGAAAAATCCCGAATGAGATGCCTTTCAAAGGCCCGATCGTCTTCTTCACTAGCATGTCTGACCGGGATTATCACAAAATTGTCCGAACCGTAATGACGCATCCAGCGGTATAACTTCGGAGAACTGCCAATGACTTCAGTATCTGTGTTGCTCAAATGCTCACGCCATCTCTGCATAATACTGCGGATTGTGCTCCCAACGTACACCTTCTTAGACCATGGCGAAGCTACGATGTAGACACCAGCCCGCTTCAGATCCATCATGTCCGTCTTGATCTCCGACCGCGCTAGGTATTTAGCTAACCACTGTATCTGCCCCCTCAGACATAGAAGAACCGTAGTCGTCGTGATCACGCGTTCAATCGCCGCCAACTGCTCGTTACTCCTTCCCCGCCCCCAGAGGGATGACTGTAATCTCATATGGTCTTTCAAAGTTTCCCACAGAGTTACGATCTTAGGGGGCGCCTGTAGTCAGTCTGACACCTGTCCCTTCTGCTTCTTCACCGATCTCAGTGTGACTCGCGCCGGTGCTGACTGGACTGATGATCTCGTCCCTCTCTTCTCAGGCCCCGTCATATCTTCCCCCAAATTTACGTCTCCCGCCTCCTCCTCTCCTAACTATGCTTCTGAATCCTCAAAACCCTCGTACGCAAGTTTCACCTGCTCCCTTGCCAAAACATCGACAATCTCGGGTTTCTTAGTGTATCTAATTCCCTTCCTTTGACATACCTTCCTTAACATCGTCGCCTTCTTAGCGGACAGAATTTTCTGTGTCGACAGATAGTAGTCGATTAACCCCTCCCTGGAACATTTCACCGCTAAACCCTTGTGCCCGTTGTCCATTGGAATCTTTGGCTCATCCTCGCCCGTCACCCCGTTACCTCCCGGCATGTCGAACCTCAGCCCTCTCGCCTGTTGCGATCCCTGACAATGGTTTACTTCATCCCACGGTTCCTCGAACCCTCTGCAATGTCGTTCGTATTCCTCAAAGCGTCTTCCATGTCCTCACGATTACGCCTCGTCTGTCTCCTCCTCCCCTTCGAACACTCTCCCCGTTCCGTTTTCGACTGTATCTTCTCAGGGGTCTTGAATGGTGTCTTCTCCCTCGTTAGATTCTCCCGCATCTTCGTTCTTCCGATCTTTCCCACCCTCCGTGCTCTTTTTTCCTTCTTTAAACGTTCAATAGTCCTCCTCAGTTCCTCATCCGGGTCGGTAGTATCGCCCTCTGTGTCTGATTCCTCCGATGTCTCATCCTCTGATTCATTCTATCTCGCCCTCTTCCTACTCGAACTCGCCGGTGTCTCCCGCGCCCTGTGTGCGCTCCTCTTCGCCTTCTCGATCCTTGCTTTATCGAACTTTGCCCGTGCCTCTTCCGCCTTAGCATGCGCCTCTTCCGCCCTCGCTCTAGCCTCCTCTGGTTTGGCCTTCGCTGCTGCTGCCGCTCCTACCGCCTGCTTCGTTTGCTGTTGCCATTTCTCCTCGAGCCCTGCTTCCAACTGCAGCCTTATTTCCTCCGCCCGACGGATCATATCCTGCTCGCGCCTCCTCTCGTTCTCCTTGTGCAGTCTCCTCTGCTCCACCCTTCTTCTTTCCTCCGCCTCTCGTCTCTCTTGCATCATCGCTCTATCCTGTTGTCGTATCTCTTCCAGTTCGTTATCCTCTTGCCGCCCGCGTTTCATCCAACATTCCCGGGAGTAATGACCCGGTTTGCCACACGTGTAGCACGTCAGGGGTTGCCTGCCCCCCATACCGCCATTACCACCTGAAGCGTTTCCCATGTACCCACCCGTGTTACTCCCCGTTCCCCAGCCAATATTCCTGTTATTACCATCCCCACTCGTGTTCCCCCCATATACATTCTCGTAGCCGCCCGCATTCCCGTAACCCCCCATTCCTCCTAGTTGGTTTTGCCCTCCGCCGTACATCCTCGCAAGTGACGCACTCGTACCCCCTCCGTCCACGGTCGTAACTCGTAACGCTCACCTAAAACCTCTACCTCGTCGAAACCCTCACCGGAAACCTCTACCTCGGCGTTGACATAGCCACCGTAGAGTTGGCAGTGCTCCCGGTTACCATGCGCCCATGAGTGCAGGAAAACTGCAGCCACACAGTCACAGCAGCGTGCTGACTACAGCGGAAACAGGACGAAAATGCTTCTTCCCACGAGAGTCTTTCCCAGAAAATGCAAGTTCAAAAGCATGCAGAAAGCTCTCCTCCCCTCCCTCTCCCTTGTCCTTCTCATCCTGCTCCACCATAGCCATGCCATCACCACTACACATCCCCTGAGCTCGTAGTATCCTCGACCGGTTTCGTCCGACTACGCTTGGACTCGTCAGGAGGTAGGATGCAAGATCCCTCAGCTCGAGGCAGCCTAGGCCTTGCTGCCGTACTAGTACTCTGTCGCGTTTCCTCACCCCGGTCCCCTTTCCCCCGCTACCGATTTGACTGACTTCAAGAAGAATAAAAATTCAAAAAACACGATTTCAAGAAAGTCCCTGGTCTAGCCGCCAGGCCTCAAAACAGCAGTCGTACCCCCACTTCCTGATACATCACTGGAGATCTGCCTGAGATCTATCTCATTTTTACCCCTTATCCGGGCCGATCCCACGTGATCTACCAGTTCTTCCCCTGCCAGTTCACCCTTAGTCTTCACCCCCCTCCGTCTACCTCTGTACCCCTTATCTATTCCCAACTACCGGTACCCGGTATCCCTTTACCCGAGCCTCAGGTACCTGTCACCTCCCGTGCTCTCCGCGGGAAACCCCTCCAAAAAATCTGCAGCAGACAGCGCAGATTCGTGTCACCCGTAGCCTGGACCAACTTGGCAAAGGCGTAGCCGACCGCCTCTCTCTCTCTCTCTCTCTCTCTCTCTCTCTCTCTCTCTCACCCCGCTTCCGTGGGAAGATGCATTCCCATTTCTCAGCTCTCTCTCTCGCTCTCACGCGCACGCACGCGCTCTCCTATCCCGCTTCCGCGGGAAGATGCATTCCCATTTCTCAGCTCTCTCTCTCTCTCTCTCTCTCTCTCTCTCTCTCTCTCTCTCTCTCTCTCTCCCATGCGTCTTTTTGTTTTTGACCGTTCTCTTTATTTTCTCTTTTGTTTTTCACATCTGAATTCCCTTTTTCCCCCGTCTGTGTCATGCCTGGAAGCGCGGAACCCGGCCAGTCAGCAACGACTGGGCCTTCCCTTGGCCAACCCCAGCAGGCCCCGGCGAGCTAACGGGGAATGCCCTCGGCCAATAGCTGGGCCAAGTACTGGTGGTTTAAGCAAGAAATTAAACATTGGGCGTGTGGGGGGGGTGGGGGAGGGAGAGGGGGACAAAAAAAAAAATAGAGAACTCTGTCGTTTGAGATCTTGCAGCTGCGGGGAGGTACGTTAGCTCAAACTCAACCCCATGGTAGGAGGTGATAGTCCTTGGTGGTAAACACTGAGGTAGGATTGAGGGAGGAGGGGTTTGCGAGGGAGAAATAACAAGAGAGGAAGGTCAGGAGGGAGTCTCGTAAGGAATATGACATGACGCCCGCCACCCTCCCCACCCCGCACTAAGAAAATAGTAATGGGCCGAATGGCCTGAAGCCGCTGAACTGTATAAACTGGCAGTATGGGAGCTCCGTTCCCATATCCTGCAAGTCTGAGTACTCAGTCTATTTTCAACCTGTCAGAAAGATGCGCACATGTCTGTGTCCTATTTTGACAGCAACAGTGAGGAAATTGGCTACTTGGGAACCTCAGGGCATACTCACACTAGTGCACTTTCCTAACTGTACCTGACTGCGATTACGGCCAGACAGGGGTGAATCTGTCTGCAATCAAGTCCAGAGCTTAGAAGAAAAATTCCTAGTGTGAGTATGCCCTCAGATCAATAGCTATCAAGTAGGTTTTCTGACAAATATGTGATTCAGTGAATACTTCTGCTACAAAAAAAAAAGGCTGAGAGAGAAAAAAAGTTCAACCTCCCTCGTGAGCTTGTGCAACTACTAGACGATACTTCCCGGATAATTCCCTTGAAGATTCTACACAAAGAACAGCAATACCATCTTAGGAGGGACGGACGCTGCAGAATTGTCTGCACAGGTAGTGAAGCCACAGTCACTGAAACGGATACGCCGAGATTGTTGAGGGGCGGCCATGCGAGGAAAACTGCAGGAGGGACTGCGATGATGCGAACGGCAGAGAAAACTGCAGGGTGGCAGGGGTGCCACTGACAGACGACACCGAAGTGATATCCGCAGCCAAGGAAACAAAAGGTCTATCCCCAGTAGATGGGCAAGCAAGGATGAGATGGCGGCACAATGGGGGGGAGGAAGACACTGGCTGATGGAGAGACCATCCTACCTTCTTCCCCCGAATACAACGTATGGTCATTATAGCTGTATTTGGGGTATCTTTCAGTCTAAATACAGCTATAATGACCATATGTTGTATCCGGGGGAAGTAGGTACCTATTGTGGGACCACAGAGAGAGACATGTCACACTCATATACGTACTAAGATAAGCACTACGGGTGGAGGCGGTGCCCATGAGAAAGCAGGCGGCGAGTAAGGGTCATTGGCAGAGTTTGGAAATTGGAATTCATTCTTATTGGGGAAGGTACTAAACAGGCAAAAGAATGGGTGAAACCATGGCTACGATCCGGACCCCCGGAAAGGGATCCAGACTCTCCGGGATCCGGGATCCGGCACCGCTTTCCGGTAATCGGTCCGGATGGAGGCCCCCCAGGCCAACGGCCAAATTTTTTTTGGGCGGCCCAGGGCGTTTTTTCACGCCTTGGGCCACCCCAAAAAAAATGGCTCTTATTTTTTCGGCCCTTTCGCCACCGTCCGGAAGGGGCAGAAAATTTCTTGGTGAACTTGGTTACTTTTTATTTTTTTCCCGAATCGCCGGGGGGGCAGTTCACGGCCACCACTTTTCGAAGGCAGCATTCTTCCCCCGTGCCATTTTTCACGTGCACGCTTGGAGCAGCGATCAGCTGCCTGGCAACCAGCGCGTGGAGCAGAGAGCAGCTGTGCGGCGACGGGCGACCAGCGCGTGGAGCAGAGCGTGCAGCAGGGTGAAGCAGGTGTCTCTCTCTCTCTCTCTCTCTCTCTCTCTCTCTCTCTCTCTCTCTCTCTCTCTCT